ATTTTGGATAACCAATTATTATAAAATTCAACCCTGTAAAAGTGTTCAACTGGCCTTGGTCAGTCTTTTTGTTGTATTCTTTCAAAGTTACAAACCATCAAAAAGATGAAAACTGGTACCAGCCACCTTAAACTAGTGCTCCCGTAATTCCGTGCTTTCGAAGTCGAAGAATAATTAAAGGCGAGGGTAAGTTTTCCTAATGTTGACGCAGTCCCGTTCTTCCTTTATTTCGTTTTCTCGACTGAGGGACATTTCATTGCTATATATGAATTACATTTTGAATGTCGCTTAAAGAACGAGGCAAGAATTACATCTACAAGAATTGTAAGCTTATCTACCCAGTGTAACGGCTGTCCTTCGTGAGGACTTTATCGCTATTATCTGTCGGGATTAGAAAGGTCGTCAGGGAATTTTTTTCTACCTATTGCAAATTAAAACGTGCGTGTTTTGTGTACCGTTCCTTCACTTATAACGCACACACCAAAGCGGGATGTTTTGGAAGGGCTAGTTTTGCTGACTTTGGTAAAACTTACGCATATGATTCATATATGATTGATAATCTTGTTTTTAGCCTTGTGGCTGCTCTTTTTGTAGAGGTTGAAACCACCACCAAGTTATACTTACTTCTGCGTCGACTACAATGTTAGATATCCGTTTCTTTGCTTCTAAAAGTTCTCCATGAATTAAATGTTGTTTATGCTCCAGTCAATTGAAACCACGGGCCCTCGACCCCCAGGACATAGCGGGGAATGACACAATTTGACAGTGTTACATTTGTGTACACTTCCCCGCCGATCGGGAAAGTATGTTGGTACAATCCCCGCCCTCATGGCCCCGGTATGTACAATATCTTGGAGACTTTATTTCCATAATAGTTGACCAATCTTTTATATACACACGGAAATGACCGTTACGTAAATTTAATATACAAATTTAATATACAAGTATGTGCGTCCATTGCTGGAGAAACCTAGAACTTCCCGGACAAAACGCGCAATGCACTTAAGTACTTATTAGTGGGGAAGAAGATTGTCAGAAACACATTAAACTCAGTAATTTGTTTTCTGCCATTGCACAATTTAAGCTGCTCATGCCCATAGTGACA